CTGCAGAATAGGTATTCTTGGTAGTTACCCCTTTTTGCTATTCCCTTAAACCTCCCATGTCCTATGATTTCATTTGGAACATCCATTAAAGGTATTCCCCAAAAGACAGGTAGCAATAAGGCAAAAGGATAAATTTTACATTTTATCAGTTTTCCCTGGTAGTTGCAAGTCTATGGCATGCAGAAGCAGGGAATGAAGAAACACATGCTATTGGAGAAGGTATAAAGATAGACGTTCTGGAAAAGACACAAAGACAGACTCCTTTGGCAGAGCACTCCAGAAGTGGTACAAAACTGCTAAAACCTGCAGCCCAGCAGCTGTCATAGTGATAGGGCAACCTTTTTTTTTTGCCCAGAAATGTGCCTTCGTACCTATTCTTAAGGTGGCAGTGTGCTGTGTAGTGCTAATCCTTCCTCTTGAGCCTAGCAGGTACTACTATAAATTGTCTCCTCTATTCATTGATCTATGATGCAGTCTGGAAAGACCCTCAAGTTTCACCAGCACACAGGTACAGCATTTTGCTGGGCTCTGTTGTGTCAGGCATTGCTGAGGTTTTGTCAGGAATGCATCCTCTTTTCCGTCTCTGCTTTGACATTTTTCTGTTGACGAGGTGACATGCCCTACTAATTTACCAAAATCTACCCAGGCTCCATGCCACCCAGGGACTGGCCTGTCTGAAGCCCTTTCCAAAGTTCCAGCGAGTCCCTTTGAGGTGCAATCTTTCCTACAACAGGGGAAGCAATACAACACCATTCTTCCAATTTTAAGTAGCACTTCCATTACCTTTATCAATAACAGTATTGTTGCAACACAATTTAGATAATAATTGGAGCCAATGGTAACAGTGGGGATCTCCTTTACAAGGCCTTTGATGTCAAAATTAAGAAAAGAAAAGTATTGGTAACATTCATCCTCTGGGCCTGGACGTCTCCCTGTGGGATAGCCCAGGACAGGCACAAACATTGCCAAAATCAGAAAGGAAATGGGTAAAATGGCCTTTAAAAGGAGAACCGTTGTGCTATGGGACCGTCAGGCGATGCTGATTTTGGGGTCATTGTTAGGGCCACCTACAGAGCTCCTGCGGTAGTGGCTGAAGAAGGTAGAGCTAGCACTTCCCATTGTTTACCTTTATTTTTTCTCCGTGTTCCTAAACAAATCTTTGGTTTCGGAACAGAGTCCGAGACCTCCGCCAGAGTCCAGGAAAACTGCCAAGCACAGTCTTTGTTTACAAAACAATTACCGGGAAAGCAGCCAAGAAAACTTTGTTTGTATAAAGAAGAGGGGAGAAAGTAGCAGAGGTTCCCTGACAGCTGTGGGATTTACCCAATGAAGACCTCTTCCCCCACCACTCTCCCAGAGACATTCTGGGAAAGCTGTAAGGCATATACACAAGCAGCATCTACTATCATTCCCTCTGTGTCCACCAGCTTCTTCTGCAGCTTCACATACTCCTGGCAGAGGAGCATCAGATGCTTTTCCAGCTTGGCCACCTCCTCTTCTTGTGCAGGTTGTAATCCAACAGCCGCTTGCAGATGTTCTCTATCACCTCAATTAACCGTATGTCTGACTGGGTGTACTTGATGGCAGAGCCCTTCCCATCCTGGAAGCCGTACTTGGTGTCAATCACCTCCTTGGTTCCTCATGGGCCCCGCGCCCACCTAGGGAAAGTCCTGGACTGCTAGCAGAGAGTGCCGGGTGCTGCTGCGCCCCTGCCTGCCCCGCCCCACGACAACTCCCGCCAAGATGCCCCCGGGCTGAGCGGGTGCGCGCGGGGCAGGCTCTCGTCACGGCCACAGACGCGCAGGTAGTGCGCGGCACGCGCACCAACAGAACGGGGCTCACTCTCAGGCCATCCCCTTTTCAAAACAAAAACTGAGCTTGGCTGTCTTCCCGGACAATGTTTTCAAAACGGAGCAAACTTAACCAAAACAATCAGCATTCCTCGTACGGGCCACCAATTAAAAATGTGTGTGTAAGTTTGGCCTGGCTCTCTTGCCAAGTCCAAGCTGTCTCCTCCCCCCTCCCGCTCTTTCAAGCGAGGAAAAAAAATGAACCACAGAAAAACCAAAAGAAGTCAGAACGAAACAGAATTATATCAAAAATATATATTTACATATATATTTACAATTATATATACAATTTGAATATTGTACACATGATAGGGAGCTGGGGGGGGAGGAAAAGGGAGGGGGAAACAGGGATATAAAAAAACCCAAAAAATACCCTCTAAATATCCTGTTAATAGAGAGCTAGCGAATAAATACAAAAAACCAAATTAAATACTTCCCTGAACAAGACAACAGAACCGTGCGAAGCACCAACCAACTCTCCATGCCTCCCGGAGGGAACCGGAGATAACGGCAGGTCTGAGCAGGCAGGCCCTGGCCTATACAAGCAAAGACCGTCTACGGAGAGACCTGTCGCCTTCAGCCACCGGAAGAGAGAAGAGAGCGAGCTCTCTTCTCTCTGCCTTATTTATATGTTGTGTTACGCTAAAGGATGATAGGGAATACTTCTTTAGATTTCTGACCCCCGTTGCTAAGGAAGGCTTAAAAAATCCAAAAGCCAACCCACTACACCAAGTTTTACAGCAACAAATAATAGGAGTACTTAACACGTTTAGTGAGAGTTGATTTTGTCAAAAGACAGCTCAAACATGTTTCACTTGTCTGGGGACAGGCATTGCTATTAATTGTTGGTTCTGAGCATAATATCTTGCTCTTTTGTGGTGCTATGCAGCTGAGTGAACCTCAGTGATTAATGAACCTGGGCAGTGTTGGTCTGCAAAAGTCACCAGTACAGATGTGCCAGTACAGGACAGAACTAATGTGCCCTTAAAAATATGAGGAATGTGATTTTTTTCCTTGTGCACCAGTTTTAAATATGAATGATGTGGGTACAATTATTTATTAAATGGAGTTTGTGCTATGTGTGGGAACAGAGAACTGAAGTTTCTGTGTGTTGCCAGGTATCAGGGTCCTGTTTTACAATAAACACTTAAGCTCTTTAAGAACCTCTTTGTCAGCTGCACCTCATGCAGATTTTTCTTCTAGTTGCAAACCAACAGCAGTCTAACACTGCAAATCACCAGAATGCAAACATCATTTTTGGCATTCCAAAAAGTCTCAACACATAATCTCGTGGGTTTCTAGGTGCTTGTTTCCTTGTCCCAGTCTTCTGTGATTAATTGGTCAGTAAATACATTCTATGCTTTTTTTGTGTGTGTCAGTCTTCTTTAGACTTTCCATTTTCCTTGCTGCACAGGAACTCTGCTGTTAGTTTTCCAAATAACATGGAACCAGCCTGTCTGCTCTCAGAATGGTCATCGCGATTGTTGCCTGTCAGCTGAGTGATGCTCAAAGTTTTCTGTTGGAAAATCAGGCAAAAAAATATTTTGGAGATCACAGAGGTAAATGGGCCAGGGCGAGCACACTCTCAATACATGCAAAAAAAGAAAAATAGTAGAATAGAGTTTGATAGAACTGTGGATTTTTTTTTCTGGTATTCTGTAATGCCCTGTGGTTTTTGTATTCCTGAAATGTTCATTGGCAATGAGGTATCGTCCTGCCTATTTACAGCACAGCATATTGTTTACTGATACAGTACCCTCTCTGTACCCAGGGATGTTTGTTACCATGAATTTAATAGTAATTTCTTGCATAGATGTAATTTCAGTATGTTCATTTTAAATCATTAGTAATTTCATAAACTTTTTGTATTCACATTGAGGTTGTAATAAATTCTAATTTTGTACTGTACAATTATTTTATAGTAATTATTAATGTCAGCTTTTATTTGTACTGTCCTAATTTCTGTCTGCTGCCTGTTCTATTACAAGATTTTTTTCTCCTTCCTCTGTAGTTGGATGCACTCTCCTATGACTGTATCCGACTTTTTTTTTTTTTAAATCTCTATCTTGATAAATCACATCTTGCGTTTATACAGTTAATAATAATAACTGGTCGCAAAGCCAGACCTGCTCTTGAATTCAGTGTCACGTTGATGATAATTTGGCAGTGAGGAACAGATAAATATTATGGTACTAAGTAATACATTGAGTAAAATTCCCATTTTTCAAGCCTACTTTCTTAGTATATTAGTTCATTAGAGACCTGTCTAGGTCTCTAGAGTATCACTGAGGAACTATTGCCTCAGTAGTTGACATTCTATCTTTAAAAATATGTAACCAAAAGGTGACTTTTTTGGACTGTATGCTAACAATAATACTTTCACTGCATTTTTCTTGGCTTTGTCCTGAAAAGTATTTTTGATCTTTGAATGAAATGGGATTTTCAGGCTTCAGTTTTCTGTATTCTTTACATCTTGTTGACTCTGTTTTGTAATTTTTTTTTTTGCTAAAGCTGCTTATTCATAACAACCAAAAATACCTGATGGACCGGCTGCTTTCTTTTTCTCTTACAAGTAATTATCTTCATCTGTCCTGTACATTTTTCAAAACTAGAAAGTACACACCATCTCTGCAGGACAGGTTGAAATTTGCCCTGCTGAGTGGTTTAGGAAGGCTGGAGTCTCTCTGACAGAATAGAAAAATTATAACTAAAAAAAGACCGAACTAGCAGAACCGACAGTGCTGTAAGGTGCATTGTAACCTTTTAAGGATTTGGGTATGCCTTGTTTTCCTGATAACCTGAGATTGTTTCAGAGGACTTGTGAGGCATTCCTTTGCCTTACAGTCTGTTTTATTTCTGTGTTGTGCATTAATATAATCTCTGGGTCTTTCTGGAAATAAGTAAAGCAGAATCTGAGGAAGACTTTGCAACAAAATTAAAGAAGGATGTTTTGTAAGTATGGGCTGGTTTCCATGGAGAAGAGTCAGTATTCAAACTGAAATCTGATGCTGCTGTTTATTACAGTAGCATCTAGTAGATACTAGAATGTTGCTTTATTATGGAACATATAATGGATTTTCTGTTGCTTTTTCTTTTGCCGTTGTTCCTTTTGTTTCATGCACTCAGTAATATAACTTATATATGACTGATGCTGAAATACATAGGACAGAGTGATTTTATTTTGAAGGGGATGAGTGCCTTCCTTCATTTCTTTTGTTGTCAGATGTATGTCAATGTTGTGATACCACTGCACAAAGTTGAATTCACATTGGTAGGTTTTGGCAAGACATTTCTCAGACAACCAGCAGTGGCAACAGTGAAGAAAACTAAACTCTTTATATGTCTGTGAAGGGCAAACTTAGTGTCAGATCCTCATTCAGAAATTGGTTGTAGCTCCAGGTTCTAATGTTGCCTCTGGCCTGGGCTTGTAGTTTTCAGAATAATTTAGATATGCATGCTGATTTTAAAGAACTTTGGAAAATTGCCACTTGAATCAGTCACTTCAGGCTGCTTATTGAAAGGATTATTTGGAAGATATTTTCTTCTTCGTGGATTTTTGGATTGCCATTTTCCCTGTACAGTCAGGTCAGGTTTTGTTTGATTTGGGTTTGTTTGGTTGAATTTTTTGTTTTGTTTTGGGTTTGTTAGTTTGAGGTCTTGTTTCTTTTCTTTCCCTCCTCAGATTTTCAAATTTTGTCCTGGTTGTACTCCTTCATCTTCATAGTTGTCTTCCTTTTGTCTCAGTCTCCATGATTAGAGATAGTAGAAATTCCAACAAGGCATAGCTCTGAGGCAACCTTTTTTGCTGTGGCTTGCTGCTGTGCTATGACAGCCTTTGCCATAAAAGCCCCTCAGCTGTGGTTGGGAGAGTGGTGAGCCTGTGTTCCTATCTGGAATTAGTCAGTGTGAAGAAGGAAGTCTTGGCTTCCCTTTTCCCCTGCTCAGGGAGTGGTGGGTAAGAAGGATTTGAGAGAATGAGGGAGAAGAAAGATGACAAGAGGCAATGTTTCTTCTTACATGTGTGCTGTTATCTCATAGGATACTACCTCTGAATTACTGAAAACAGAGGTCCATTCTGAGACAGCGTTTGTTTAAACTGTAATGTTCATGTAGAGAAGTGCTGACCCTTCAGGGCAACAAGAGGTAAAAGAATATTCCAATTCATTTGTCTTACTTATTGTGCTCTTTTCTTCCTAATACGTACACCTGCTGCTCCAATACGCTTTTTTTCCCGACTTTGAAATCATGTGGGTATAAGCTTACTTTTATTTTTTTGTTACTCCGTACTGTGTAAACTTGTAAGGGTTGTGCGTGGAGCGCGTTAGGGGTAACTAGACGTGCATGCTTCAGGGGGAAAGAGAAGACCAGATCTTGCAGAACTTTGAAATCACAGTGGAATTCATTATGGGCAATGGCGTTTAAAAATGCTTAGGAAAAGTACAGATAGTTACCTTCATTTTGGTACACCTTGCTCCCATTTCCTTTGCCCAGGGTCAGTATTTGGGTATTATGCCATTTTCCCAGCAGGTTGAGTCCTTGATTTCTGTTGGTTTCGGTAGTTAGTGTGTGCATTGTGAATCAGATACACAAGGCAAAGGCCCAGCCTGCAATTACTGCTGCTCCTTGGCAGGAGTTTATTCAATCTGTTCCTCTTGGCTAGACCTCTTATCCTGGCTTTGTGGTCTTATTTACATTGTGATGGCAGAGTTATTTCCACTCCAAAGCGCTGTAGTGATATTGTCTAAATGATTCAGGACGAGATATGGCTAGGGATCTGTGGAGAGCTGAACTTAATTTAAATTCTGCAAGAACTATCTGTTATTTTCAGTGTTTATTATTATTATTATTATTATTATTATTATTTTAATTAAAAGAAGATGTAGACTTTTTGGAATGACGGTTGAAACTTGTGTTCTTTTCTTGAGAAATACTGTTTGGTCTTCTGAGCCGTCACGTGAATGCCCTACTCCTGGACCTCATATGTAAATATTTTCCATCATATTTGATACCGTTCATGGATTATGTAGATGCATAATGATGTCGGTGCAGGTTTATGCTTAAAAGTCTGAGTGCAGAGCCATGGATTTGGCAAAGAGCTAGGGAAAAGTGCATGTTTAGGGAGGATCTGTTTCCGGAAATCTTAAACCACACAATTCCAAATATTCGTGATGTAGAATGTAAGTTTTTATTGTTTGCTCTGTTATTATTTTGTACTTAAGATAAATTTGTCTCTTAAAACAGTTTTTCTGGGGATAAGCACATTCCTTGAACAAAGTACATCCCACTGAATTTCCAGTGGGAATTCAAATTATTGTTTGTTGGCTGTCTGTCCATGTGCATGGTCGTATCTCACAGTGGAGGTGAAGTAAGCTGTTCCTCATTCAGTGATTTGTGATTGCCACTCGCATTAGTGCACCCAAAAGTAAAAGTTATGCTTTATATATCGACATTTACTATAGGGCATTCTACACACAGGAACTTGTTACTTTACAGCAGTTTTGGTGTCCAAGTCCTAATGTTGCCCCTGCTTTGGGTTAATCATTTTCAGAATAATTTAGATATGCATGTTGATTTTAGAGTGCTTCAAAAATTTGCCACTTGAATCAGGCACGTGTGCCTACCAGTTGAGAGGATTATCTGAATAGTGAATGTGAAGGGTAAGCGACAAGCCTTGCTGGCAGTGACACTTGTGTTTGCAGCAGACTGTGGTATGTTGGCATAAGGGTGCTTGAACGAGTCAGTGGATGCAATGAAAAAATGCTTTGGAGGCGGAGTTGTTTAGAGGAGAGCTTAGCAGCATGAGAAATTCGGTCTCAATATTCTGGTAAAAACAGAGACCTAAGTACCACTGTAGAAAGTCTGGTGAGGAAGTCTATTAAATGTGTAACTTCAGTCTAAAAAGTGCTCATGTCAGGTAATGTATGGGGAAGAACGGGGAGTAACAGGGGAAAACAACTATTATGTAAGATGAGTGGCTTTATCCAGACTAGCTTGAATGGTAGAAGTCATTCAAGAAAGTATTAAATAATTGAAGTAGTTTCAGAGATGGGTATAAAATGAGAAATACAAGGTATGTGCATGTAAAGAGACTGAAAAGGTGGGATGAGTTTGAGGGGTAAAAATTAAGAAGAGAATGACACATATGTAAATATATGTGCATGTATATATATGATGAATCTGGACCATCTGCCGTCACTGTCTTATAGCAGTAGAAGAGGGAAATATTGAGTGAGATTCTTACCAAGTTTTCTTTTAAAACTGTGTTGAAGTCACGTACTGGGCATTTAAATGTATGCATTTAAAGTAAAATGGAAATGAATTCTCTATTCTTCCCTAACAGTTGCTTCAAGTTAGGTTTAAAAATATATTTCTGTTTTAAACACATGTGGCATGAAGCCCTCAACTTCAACCACTCCACAAGAAAATGAAGGTCTCTTCACTTTGTTTTGTTTAAATCTTTTTTTTTCTTCCCTGTTACAGAGCTCCCTGAAGATATGTGGCTCATACTGCTTCAAACTGTCTGGACATTTGTTGTTTAACTGCTGAAGCTTTCCTACCACTTGTTTCTTTCTTGAAGCCTTAATCTATTGAGGGATCAGAATTGGCTGCTATGGTAAGACATTTTTTCAAGTTGTAGTAAAATGCTAAATGTGGGTGCAATATGCCAGTTTATTTTGGTTTTATTTCTTTATTCAGTAGCAAGACACCAAAACAAACAAAAAATCTTAATGGTGTACAAAATCAGAAGAGGAGACTTTGAATTAACTAACCAGCCAAGAAATTTTATGCTGCATGTTGTCTCTTTATACTTGCCCTGTGCTTCTAAGTGAAGAATAAGAATCATGTGAATCATTTTACAAGATCTTTTTCTTGTCTATAGATGTATGTGTATAACTCATCAAAATGTTGTGTATAAATGTTTTACAAGTCTCTTCTAGATACTGCATTTTGTATGAAATGCATTTGGGTTTAATGGCAATTTAAATTACAGTATTTAAAATACTTAAGGTGATTTGTAGAAGCATAGAAATTTTGATTTTTGGAGACTAAAAGTTGGTAAAAATAAGAACAGGAAACCCTGTGAATAACAGGTGAGACAGAAGGATGACTGAACCTCTAAGCAGATAAAAATCCATAATTGTTTGCTAGATGATGATATAGTACTGTATTTAGGAACTGATACTTGTCCTTGATCTCAACAACTGTAGCAGTTTTGAATAACCAGGTGATACTTTACAAATTTCAGGAATCAAGACCAACTAGGACATGAGAAGATGTATTCAAGATGATCCAACCAGAAAATTTTTCACTTCATAGAAATCTTATTTTTGTTTAATATGTAATATAATTTCACAGAGCCAAATTCAGTTACTTTTCTTGAAATTAAGACACGCCTGTGGCCTTCATCAGAAATGTTTCTAACATTTTCAAGAAAAAATATGTCCCAGAAACTGAGTATGTTTTTACTAGTTTTTGGAATCATCTGGGGTTTGATGTTGCTACGCTACACTTTTCAGTATCCAAGACGCCAAAGCAGTGCTGAGTTGCGTGGACAGATATTAGATCTCAGCAGAAGATATGTCAAAGCACTGGCAGAAGAAAATAAAAATTTAATGAATGGTGGCGGTGGAGCATCTATGGCAGGATATGGTAAGAGCAAAAAGCTACACTAGTAATCTGAATATCTTCTTTTTAAAAAGAAAGCTGTAAAGTTACATTTTTTCTCTTTCAAAGTATTACATACTGCTCGTAAAGAGAAAAAAACTCCTTGTTTTTCAATCAGCAAAGGTGTAAATATATAGATTTTTCCCCCCCTACTTTATAGCTTATATAATAAGCGATAAGATACTGTGTCATAGCAATTTTTCTATAGACTAGATTTGTTATTTAGGGGAAAACTACCTTTTTATGTTGGAAAATATTTAAATATATTCTGTTGCTGTCCAAGGCTAAAAGGTGTTATAGCTGTGTATTCTAGTACTGTTGTCTGGATGAAATTTGAAATACTGCCTTTGAATAGTCACTTCTAGTGCTCCAACTAGTGATTTTGTTCTTACACTCAAATATTTAATTGGCTGCCTTCACAGTTCCCTATTATGGTGGTATCTTCCATCCGTAAAATAACAAAGAAATGGTATCAAAGAAAAATCAAGCAGCTGTACTTGTATATCAGTCTGCATTCCTTTCCAAAGCTATAGTAGGGAGGACAGCAAGTCTTAAGATGTGAATATGTTGATATAGCCATTCTTTTCCACACATAGTAAATAATAGTCTCTAATTTGTTTTTCCATTATCTTCAGCTGATCTTAAGAGAACAATTGCTGTTCTTCTGGATGACATCTTACAACGCCTGGTGAAATTGGAAAACAAGGTTGATTACATTGTTGTGAATGGCTCAGCAACAAATACCACTAATGGAACTAGCCATCAGGCACCAGTAACTTCAAATAAACGTGTAAGACCAGCCAGCAACATTAGATAGCAAACAGGGCTGCTTTGTGTTGCTACATCTGTGATGGGTAATATTTAAGATAAGCTTTTTATCTCTGGCTAAGGCAAAGCAGTAGTTGACTCTAAAAGAAGCATAAACTATTCTGTTATACTATGTGCTGGATCTGTGTAGGCCTAACATATGTGCTTAGGTTCTCAAAGCATTATTTCATTGCCTTTGAGCAGTACTTCTGAAGTGATCTTTGTTGTCTTTAAAGATATTTTGATATCATGATTTGATGTAGTATGCCATTGGATAATAAAACTATGTGAAAAGTAGTGGGGAACTTATAGGTAGGTTTATAAATATATTTATTTAAGTATGAATATAACATATTTTTTGGATAGGTGAGAAGCATTGTAGCTTATTAATTTTTTGTGATCTACATTTAAGCCAAGGTAACTGAGGAAAATGCGTTGTTAAGCAGATGTTAGAAAATGTGTATACTTAAAATATTTTGTTACTTAACTACTAAACAATATTAAATTGAGGACAACATTGGTGGTAATATTTTAAAATTGTGACCCAAAGAATGTCTTTATTTGCACTATCTGTCAGAATAGTTAAAGAGAATTTACTGTATATTTAAGAAAATTAATTATAATAGGAAAATATTCTAGGTAGTAACACTGTCCAGGTTTATCTTTGTGCCAGAGTTAAGGCAGTTAGATTATCAAAAGCAAATCATAATCTGTGATATCTTAGATGATTGTTTCTTACGAAGATATTTAAGTGTATGTATTTTGTAATTGCAGATGAAATTATTTAAGTGACGGAAATAAGTTTTGGATATGCAAATACGGTTTATTTTTATTCATTGCTGTTTGTTTTAACAATTTAATACCTTGCAATTTGTGATGAGTATAGCACATGATCTCCCTGAATTGCTTTCTTGATCAGAAGGAAAATCAGTGAAGGGAAACAAGGCATCTCTGCATTTAACAGAGTTATATATACTAAGGGTGTCTAGTCATGGAGTATTTGAGAGGTAAGGTAATATTTGCCTTACGTCTAAGTTAGTCTTACAGCAAAGTGAAATGCATTCAGCATGGATGCACTGTATTTCAAAATGTTCCTGAAGTCATATTTAAGTGCCACTGAACCTGTTTTTTAAATCGTAGTGAATGTTTGGTGGGGACAGAGGATACGTTCAGGGACTTTTGCCAAAAGTGTCCTGTGAGTGGGGTTTTGGGGGTGGGTAAAACTAGAGGTGCTGGATGATACACCATCCAGAGTTATGTGTTTTTTCTTTTCTTCTGTTTCCCTGCTGATATTCTTGATGGTTATAAAAGAAAATACACTTGCAACTTTTGTTAGCATCCAGAGGATTTTTTTGGTCACATTGTGTGTAAACATGTACTCACTTCAATGCAGAAAGAGAAATAAATTTTTAATTGTACTTGTAAATGTTCCTGTTGTTCTTTTTTTTATTATTATTATTAAACAGTCTTGTCATTTTTGCTACATGTGCTCTATCTGTTTCTGGATTGGAAAGTTGTGTGTCTCTAAGGTTTAGTAGTAGTCTATCTGGTATTCATCCTGCTCAGTCACTGGGTTCTTCTGCTCTTTAAATTCTAATGCCCTGAAACTTTCCTCAGGTTAGAGCTGCGGGAAGAAAGAATTGAAAATAAAATAACTAGTTTCCATCTTTAATGGTGAAGACTTTGCTCTTTAACCTAGGAGTAAAGAAGATAGGTGCATAACTTCTTTTGAATCTGCAATTCTCTATTGACAATGTGAAGATAAGTTTTTTATCTGTCTATCTATCTATCTATGATTTTATTTCCCAGATACTTGACTAGTACCAATCAGAACCTTGTTCTTGTGTTCGTATACAAAACTGTCTTTTTTTTCTTTTAAGGGTATGTGAAACAAAGTTATTGAGGATTGTTAAACGAGCATAAAAAAAACTTGCAAGGTGAGTATTTATCAATATATGCACAAGCAGGTTTTTTTATGTAGAGATTTTGGAGACTGATACATGCAGTCATGGTAATTCATGGTGCTATTAGCAAATAGTTGCTTTTTTTTCAGGTTTCAGTAGCACGGTGGCTCATTGGAATTAGCTTGTACTTGACAAATACATAGAGAAAACTGTGAACTACCTCTGTTTTATGGCACAAAAGTTCCATTCATGAATATAGTTGAAAGAACTCTTTGTCAAGGAGCATTTTGCCTGAAACCAGCATTATTAGGGGTTGATACAGCATTACATCACTGTCCATGATATATCTTACCCCTCTTTTTGTGGCTAGTCTTGTTCTGTGCTGTATCAC